TCACCTTCTGTGCTCGAGAAGGAGCTACGTGTGAGTATGTAAAAGCACACACGAAGGGAAGAGAGAGAGAGAGAGAGAGAGAGAGAGAGAGAGAGAGAGAGAGAGAGAGAGAGAGAGAGAGAGAGAGAGAGAGAGAGAGAGAGAGAGAGAGAGAGAGAGAGCTCATGATTGAAGATGGACCATCATCATATGAGTTTCTGGGTTTGACACTACTCGATTCCAACGGCAAGAATGATTGAGTTAAATCGATGGGATCGAGAGAGATGGAGCAGGTGGAGATTCCCAAGTGTTGCCATCGACCTAGATCTAGGCAAGTAGCCAATGCCAGTCCGAGCAGAACCGGCGAATGTGGGCCTACACACGACGATGAGGTGACCAGCGCCATCAAGTGCACTGCTGCCGAAACGTGCCTAGCATACACGGGATAATTATTAAAAAAGTCATAAATCTATTATACGGCGGTCAATTTAGTCCTAAACCTTTTTATTGTGCAAATTTAATACTAAACCTTTTGATGATTTGTTAATTTAGTCATAAACCTTTCAATTGTATCAGTTTAGTTCTAAACTTTTTGAAGATTTGGCAATTTAGTCCTAAACCTATAATTTGGATATTTGGATATTGATAAATCATTAAAGGGATTAAGACTAAATTAGCAAATCATCAAAAGGTTTAGGACTAGATTGACATGATTAAAATGTTTAGGACTAAATTGGTAAATCGATATCGACACCTCATTTTTCGTTAAATAAAAATAAAAGATACAATAAATAGAAAAAAAATTGCCCATTTAATTCGGCCCATTCATGCCTAATTGATTCATTGACCCAGCCTTTTTTATTAGTTTTCTCAATTTAGCCAGCCCAGTCCACTCCTTCCTGGTCCTTTTTTCTCTTTTGGCCCATCTCGGCTTCACCTGGCCCCACTGTAGCTTTCTTTCCTCCTTCGCGCTTGTGTCTGTGACGCAAGAATGCGATAGAGGACGCGGGAGAGCGAAGGAGAGCGAGCGCTGGTGAGGAAACAGCGGGTGAACGGAGCAAATTCACGAGAAAGAGAAAAAAACCGAGAAAGAGAGAGTCATCCGGAGAAGAAAGGTTGGCCGGGAGAAATGGACGAGGGAAGAGAGGAAAAGGGTACATGAGAGGAGAGCGCTCGGACGCCTTTTGATCGGAAAGAGGGTGCCGGACAAATCTCTTCCCCTCCCTCTTCCATTCATCGTCGCCGGAGACCGCCAGAGACTTTGGAATCACAGTTCATCCGTTGAGAAAGAAAAAGCATGGCCGGACGTCCCTTGACGTCGCTGATTGAAGTTCCGTTTCTAGTCAGGTAAACTTCTCCGATTCTGCTTTTATTTTCCCCTGTTTCTTGGGAATCATGTCATTGAGCTCAATCGGTGAACTTACGATTTAATCGAGTGAAACCGAGAGTGATATGTTGAAGATAATGATAATTCCTGATTGATAGATCATGATTTTGGCCTTAGATTGCATTGAATGTTAATCTGGAATTCATATTGCGCAATGCATGCTAACTGTTCACTGAAGTGTCCGAATGAAATATTAGATGCTTAGAGCACCGAGCTTGATTGTGAAATTTCTGAGCGAGTTATGGTAAACTGAGATGGAATCGAAATGAATTACGCTGATTTAGATCTTTATACATCACAATTGAGTCGTAAATTGAATGGAATCTCACTCTAGAACATGTATCATAACTTGCGTATCACATGTTCGACGAAATGTCTAAATGGAGATTCGAGTGGCTTTTTTCAAAATCAATGCTTGGAACTCGGTTTTTATGCTTGATTAGTTCTCATCATTGTTGAACATGACTAAATCTGTATTTTTTTCTTTGTTTTTTACAGCATAAACATCGTTGTCTGAGTCGGCCGTCATCTTTCCTCTGTCGGAAATTCATTCCTCTCGCCGGAGATGTGCCTGCGGTTTGAGGCTGCTACCGTTAGTTTTCTATCTCTGTTTCGTGTGTATGTTTGTTTGTTTAGATTTAGAATCTGTTATTGTGGTCGGAAGTTTGATGACCGGAAAATAAAATATGATCACCGACGTTGATGAATGATGGCCGTGACTGTCGTTGGCCCATTGATGGTTGCGAATGAAGACCAGTGAAGATGGCTTGGTGATGGCCAGAAATGGAAGGCCGCGTCGGTGGTCGACGACAGGCCAAAGTTTCGGCGTGGACATTCGGATGATGAAATTCACGGTGAAAAGGTGCAGTGAAGTCGATGGAGGACGTGAAGAAGAAGACCAAAATAGGAAATAAAAGAAAAAAAAGAAGAAATAATAAAAATAAAAATAAAAAAATCAGAAAATATTAAATTCTGGATATAATGAAGTCGGGTTAGAACCGGGTCAAATTGTGGTCTGGGTCGGATTGGAAGTGTAGTGGGCCGGAGGTCAAGTCAGGTAAATGGGCTCAATTTTTGTGTGACTGGGCTGAATTTGAATTGGGACAAAATGAATAAAAAACTAAAATTTTAAGAATTTGGGCTTGATAGCTCAAGCCCATCAGACTCTCGCCATATTCGGACTGGGCCTTGAGCCAATCCGATTTTTAGACTCAACCCGTACCCGCGGTCGGTGAGACTGGCATTTCAGAAATAAAAAAATTCATAAAAAATAAAAAATCCAAAAAATAAAAAATAAAAAATTCGAAAATAATAAAAATTCAAATAAAAAAATATGGGAAAAGCTAAAAAATTTAGAATTCATCTAGTTTAGGGTTTTTTTAATAAATATTCTAGGCTTGAATAAAATTTGATTCCAAAATTGAATAAGGGCGCGTTTGGTAAGTTGCCAAATAGTAATTATTTATATTCTTTTATTCCTAGAATTAGTTTTGGAATATAAATCCGTTTGGTAAATTTTTTGTTTCCAGGCACAAATTTGCAAAAATTTGTTCCCAAAATCACTTTTGGAACCGAATAAAGAAGCAAAAAAAAGAAATTTCTTGATTCTGCGAACAAGAATAAAAAATGGAAAAGAATTTTTTTTCTTCTTCGTCTTGGCCTGTGGCCAGGGTTGACGAGAGCGTCACGGTCCTCATTAGATCCAGCGTGGGCGACCCTCGCCCAGGCTGTCGAGGGCGGCCCTTGCCCAGGTCGCTAGCCGCCCTCGCCGAAGCCGGCGACCTAGCCATGGCCAAGGAAGGGGAAGGGGAAAAAAAGAAAAAAGAAAGAAAGAAGTATTAAAAAATTCAAAATATTATTAATAAAAAAAATTTGTGCAGTTACCGAACACATTTCTATTTTTTTTTTCTATTCCAAGAATAGAAATTTTGGACAATTACCAAACGTCTTCAAATGCTTAGAAATTGTTTCCGGGCACAGAATAAAAAGAATCATTTCTGAGCAGAATCAGATTTCGAGAACGGAATGATTGTCAAACGCACCGTAAGTATTTAGGGCTTTACATTAGGAATTTTTTATTGTTTTTTTTTTCTTTTAGAGACAATGCTAGATCTCTATTTGTGCACTTTCATTTTGATTACACTTGATTGCGCATTTTAATTACATTGATTGTTATTTCTTCCTTTTAGAATGGTTAAGACGAAATTTAGGACTCTTGATTAGTAAAAGACTGCCCTAACACTTTGGATTAACAAATAGTCAAGTTTAGGCACCGAAAAGGCACTAGTTAAATAACTAGTGTAATCAAGTCCATGTTCTTAAGAATCTCTGGTTGCGCATGCATCGAGACGATACTTCTACATTTTGATTTTAAGGTTTTTTGTCAACCCTCATCAATGGCTAGTAGAGACTCTAAAATAGAATAATCAATGTCACGCGAGGTATGGACTTAAGGAGGGTCCCATAGGTGGTCCTTGAGGGGTAGGTCATGACAATCAACAAAAGGTTTAGGACTAAATTGGCACAATTGAAAGGTTTTGGACTGAATTGATCTCGGTACAATAGGTTTTGGACTTTTTAGACATTTTTCCCACACGGTGACAAGGATTTGTAACCTTGTCTATACCAAGGCCGAGCTTCCCCTCCCCCTTTTTCTCTCTCTCTTTCTCTCTCTAGATTCGTGAGTTTTTAAAATTTTTCTTTTTAAGCATGTTAGCATTTATTTGTTTTTTTTTTTCCGTGTCAACGTTTGATAAGAAAAGAGTATTTACATGGCGCTAACGTTGGCGACCAAGTCAACATTGCCATCTGAATATTTGACGGAAGGATAAATATCAACAAACAAACATATAATTCAAGGATATGATTGCACCAAAAGAAAGTCGAGGGATTATATTGCAAAGATCGAAAAAGTTTAAGAATTCATGATGAATTTATTCATCTCATTATTGCACAACCAGGTGAAATTTGGGTTGCTTGAACCCAAGTACGAGCCCAATTATTTATGAAAAGACTCAGTAGTGTCTTAGATACGAGCCCAACACACACTTAGCTACTTAGAACCCGAGTTGAGATTCTAATGGTTAGACTCCTGTCAAATAAGGTAAATGCTTGAGAATCGGTTTTCCATTACGTATGATAGAGCAGAGAAGGTGCAAGCAATTACACCATCCAAGTATTTAAGCAACAGCACAATGACGCATATCCGAAGCTCTTCTATTCTTATACCAGAAATAGTGGCGGTCAGTCTACAAGCATGAATAACTCAACGTAATCATCTTTTACATTAAAAGAATAAAAAGAAATGGTGGTTCATTTCTTCTAACAGTATGCATTAGGCAAACATTATGAATACCGTGGACTCCTTGAAAAACCAAACTAATATTGGGGTTCTGCACCTCCCAAGTCCGAACTTTCAAAGTAAATTTGCCTATGTGTTGACAACCAGTTAATGACAAAGGCTGTGAAATAGAGACTCATGGATGGCACTTGATTCCACTTGCAAGTACAGAAGGACTGTCGACTGAATGGAGAAGGCATTAGGTAAACCCGATGGATGGAAAACACCTCACAGAGCACTTAAAACAACCAAAGAGGATCATACAGAAACACCACCTTCAATATACATGCACCAGATTAACATATGAATAACGAAACTGATCTCACACAGTCCTCGTTGTTTCTTGTCGTCACAATGGACGATCCTGCAATTAACTTAACCTAACAACTCCAAACGTCCCAGCACCGGATCAAAACAGAGAATATTAAGGAACTGAAGTCAATTGCACATCATCATCACTTCCTGTTGTACTTGACGATATCGATGACGGATCGCGAGGACAATGGACTGCCCGATCGAGTTGGGAAAAAAAAACACTAGCGACTTTCTTCTCTTGGTCATCCCAATCCTCATCAATAAAATGTAGGCAATGAGCCTATACCAAACAAACATTATCTCCAATGCGATTTCCGAGACAACATGCCCATCAAGCCCCACCTTCTTGATCCCCGGACAGTCCCTAATCAAGCATGAAGACTCACCACAGGGGTATGCATCCTCAGGCTTGAACTGTGACCCCATCAAGAGCTTGTATGTGTAGTGGCTAATTGAAAGATATCTGATCCAAGCAATGAAGGGAGGCACGTTTTTGACGTAGTACCTGTCGGCGACGAGGAACGAGAGCATGAGCATCAACCCAAGGATGGTCGCCAACTGCTGGTCCATCATCAGAGCGCCAATGACAAGCCTGAGGTCCTGCACCGAAGAGCGTGCTCAAGAACTTCGAACAATTGCTCATTGTGCGGTTAATACCTTAATTATACAACAATTGATAACGTTTACTACACCAATATTTAAGCAGAAGACGATAGTCTCCTGTTTATTGAAAATAATTTCTAAACTTCAAATTGATTCCGCTTTCGTGCCATCCTCAAAATCCAATCCTAAACTCGTTCAGAAAGTCCTTGCTTTTGTTCCTGTTCTTCTTAAGTGAGCATAACCACTCAGTAACGAACTACTCAACTCCTTACTAATGGGATCAAGCATGCTCAAAACAGTTTACTGCTGAACTTAGCATCAACATTAAAAGAATAAAAAGAAATGCTGAGTCAAATCAGCCACCACTTGTTGTATAAAACTATCTATGGTTGAATACAAGAATTATTCAAACCTTAAAAATATACTTACAAACTCCTCATGAGAAGATGCTCAACATCCTGTGTAGAAAGCTTTGTTCGCTCTACAGTAACATTCATGGGAATGGTTCGGTTCGATCCTCAGATGGTCGACTGCAAAAATTTACATCGCCGTTCTCCATCAAAGCTGTAAACTCTGTTTCCCAAATTTTGTTAACTTCCTAATCTTAATTCAGCTCACCAAATATACATAATTCTTGCAATACCCCAACTAAAAGATGCACAACACGACGGCACATGATTACACTGAGTCGAGCAGTCCACAGAAGCATAGCAACATAACTAGACTAGGCTTTCAAATAGTCAAACAATTAAAAAAGAAAGCAGACCCTTATACAGTTATTACCATATGAAGCTAGAGCTCGAGCTCATGCTTAACTCCGCAAAGATAAATCACGCGATTACATTCAACTAAAACATCAACAGCCACACCACTCGTACCTGTTCTTCAGCGATTAGCTGGTGATTCCAGAGCTTGAGTTCAGGCCCACGCCTCCCGCGACTGATGGAGTTAATGAGTGCAACCATCGGAGCCTCATGTAACACCAAATTCCTCCAGCTGAGCGGCTGTGAAGATGAAAATGTGCACGAGAGTGGAAAGTGGCACTGAAGAAGGACTTGAAGGTCACGGACATGGAACTTGAAGCTCGCGGACGACGGAACCTGGGAAATCATGCATAATTGATGTGAAGTGACCAACTCAATTAAATTTGATTATTTTTTCAAAAAAACTTTTCTCCTTTTCTCTTTCCTTGTTTTCTTCTTCTTCTCTGTTCATCTATTCTCACCATCATTGGTCACTCTGCAATGCTGGCCATCACTATACCAGAGAGCATTTTGTCATCCCTGGTGTGGTCCCATCGTGCCTCACCTCCGTCACTCCCAATGTCGAACCCTTCCGCCTAGCCATTGCTATCGACATCGTTCCATCAAGCCTCATCAAGCCCCTCTTTTTCTCTCCTCTCTCTCTCTCTCTCTCTCTCTGCACGCGACCTTCCATGGATGGAGGTGCTCGAGCACAGATCTGGGTCACACAACATGGCCTCGTATCTGAACGGCTAATTTGCGATGTCCACATAGGTGTCCTGGTCGACATATTAAATGGCTAGTTAATTGTGTTAATGGCAACATCGACAATTTCCCTCAGTATTTGTTGAGTCAAAGTAAAAAGTATAAGGACTAAATTGAAACGCAAAAGTTTCTTGGACAAAATTGAATACTAAGGAAAAATTCAAGAACCACCCATGCTATTACCGAAAACAAAAGAAGAAAATACGAATGATCAAGATCGTTGATTAGCTACATAAGTGAGAGAGGTAAATTAACAGAGAAATGACCTTCATGGGCACCATATTCGCAGAGAAATGGCCGTGAATAGTATATGTTTTACCTCTAACATTGGCTCATCCAATGCAACTGAGTGATGTCAAGATGCTATTCTTTTAATTCGTTGATATTTCCCTCATGAGAACGGGTGGAAACGTTTTCTTCAATTACAAAAAAATCAATCTTCGATTTTCACCCCAAATACTAATTTCACATCCGCTAATTCCGAAATCTATCCAGACTTTACAACAAGAGGTTTCAAAAGATCTAAACTTTGCACAATCTAATTTCCATAGTTTGTTAGACTCAAAGATGTAGAATTTAGACATTTTTTCGACATCAAGGCGGAAAATGCATGCTCGGAATGATTCTCATTTCCGAGTCACCGTTATAAATGAAATGGAATTCGTCGGACACTAATCTCCGTCCCTTTGAAAAGCTATGCAAACTTCTAGTAGAAAAATATGGGAAATGTTCAAATAAGGGCCTAAAGTGACATATTTTTTTCTCAAAAGAGGGCCCAATATAAAACCAATTTTATCTCAAACAAGGATCTAAGCTTCACGTGCCCCTCACGTGTCACTTTCCAAGCCAAGGTTAAGGGTATTTTCGTCAAGGCCTTTTTTTAAATCTTTTCCTCTCCTCTTTTTTTTTTTCTTGAATTGGAGAAATGGTTAATAAAACATCCAAGAAGATAGAAATTGCATATCCTTATATTGAATCTTTTCAAAATCTTCCAGAGAAGAGAGATACTTCCCCTTCGTAGCCTTAAACTCTGTCTGCGTCCAGACATGGCCACATCCGACGTCAACTTCTTTTAGCAAGCTTGAACCTGTTGGGCGACATTTTTTCTTCCTCTTTTGAGAGGCTGAAGAAATAAAAGTTTCCAAGTATACCGAATGCTGGGTCGCTGGTGGCGAGGGCCGCGAAATACAGCATCCCACACCTCTCGAACTATCTCTCCATTTGGGAGGATTCCGCTCCGCACTCGGCTACCCAGGCATTTAATGTGGGTGTGATAACTGGGACACTAGAGGTGCATCCTTTCCCTTCGAGAATTCGGCCTGCCAAAATAAAACCAGAAGTAGAAGATTGGGCTTCCTTATACCTATCATTATGTTTTAGCATTCTTAAGACCAAAGAGTCGGGCAGAGAAGGGGGGATCGCACTTCTGATGCTCTTTCCAAGTAAGTTCTTCAGATAGACATGGCCACGGTTCAGGAACCGTTGGTTCCGGTTCGTGGCCATGTATGAACCGGAACCGGAACCGCAGGGGGCGGTTCCAGTTCCGGCCGGTTCCGGTTTGTAATTTAAAAATTAATAAAATAAAAATTACAGGCCTGGTCCTCCGTCGGTCGTCGCTCGGGTTTCGCGGCCTTGGCCATGGTGGCAGAGGCGAGGTTCAAGGCGGCGAGGAGATGAAGCGGGAGACGGGGGCGGCGGCGAGGGGGAGAAGGAGGGGACCGGGAGGGGGACGGGGACGGGGAGGAGAAGCGGGCAGTCCTCCTCCTCTGGGAGCTGGGAGGGGTCGGGACGAGGGGAGGAGGAGGGGCATCGGCGTCGGCAGCTGCGGCCATGGGCGGCGGCGGGGGTTAGATCTGGGGAGACGGAGGGTAGGCAGAGGAGAAAAGGGGAGGAGGCGCAGGGTAGCAAGGGGGGAGGAGGAGGGGACGTCGGCGTCGGTGGCTGCGGCCATGGGCGGGGGCGACGGCGGTGACAGCGGCGGGAGTCAGATCTGGGAAGACGGGGGGCGGGCGAAGGAGAAAAGGGGAGGACCGGAGGAGGCGCAGAGAAGAGGGGGGAAGGAGGGATTTGGAGGAGGAGGACTAGAGGAGGTAGGGGTGGGAACGTGGGGCTGCAGTAGCAGTTTTTTTTTTTTTTTTGTTGAACCGGGCCCGTAGGCCACGGGCTGGTTCCGGTTCCGAACCGCGGGCCCGATCAACGGGCCGGTCCCAGGTTTGACCCGGGCCGGTTCCGGGCCAAAACCGGCTCGTGGCCATGTCTACCTTCAGATGAAAAATAGTCTCAGAATTATTATGTCCCAAATGTGACTTTCGTGGAAAGGCCAAATTCTTGGCCATTTGCCCTTTTTTCGGGGAAACCTCGTGATTAAAGATAGACTAACATGTCAGTTTTTTGCTTTGACATTACTCGATTCCATCTGTAATAGTGATTGAGTTAAATCGATGAGATCGGGAGAGAGGGAGCAGATGAAGATTCCAAGTGTTGCCATCACCCTGGATCTAGGCAAGCAACCTTTGCCGTCAAGTGCACTGCCGTCAGAAGGTCCCCGGCACACGGCGGCAAGGATCACAAACTTGCCTATACCAAGGCTGTGCTTCCCCTCCCCCTTCTCTCTCTCTCTCTCTCTCTCTCTCTCTCTCTCTCTCTCTCTCTCTCTCTCTCTCTCTCTCTCTCTCTCTCTCTCTCTCTCTCTCTCTCTCTCTAGGTTTGTGATTTTTAAAAATTTTCTTTTTAAGCATGTCCCCGTTTACTTGCTTTCTTTCCCCATGTTAACGCTTGATAGGAAAAGAGTCTTTGCGTGGCACTAACGTGAACGACCAATTTAGCATTTCCATTCGAATTTTGACGGAGGGATTAACATGAACAAAGAAACAGATAAATCAACGATATGATTGCACTAAAAGAAAGTTTTAGGGATGATATTGCACGAATCGAAAAAGTTCAAGAATTTACTATGGCTTTATCCCTCTCGTCATTGCACAACCAGGTGAAATTTGGGTGGACTGAACCAAAGTACAAGCCCAACTATTTATGAAAAGACTAAGTAATGTCCTAGATACGAGCCCAACACACACTTACCTACTTCTAAACAACTAACAGGAAGCCCGAAAATTCAGACCGGCCCGACCTAGAATTCAAATGCCTGAAATGGTCGACCCAGTCTTCAGGCCTTTTTTATTTTATGTTCAGGCCGGGCCCAAAATTTAGGCTCCACATGGTGGAACTCAAATGGCCCTGACCAGTCCGAAAGTTTTAGTATGTCTATTCATATTTGTGATAAAAAATTAGGAGCTGGGACACTACAAGTGTCAAAACTTGTGTACGGCGCTCACTTTGGTGCTAAAAGTTTTTGCCGGATTATTTAAGTGCCAAACTTTTTGAAAAATGGTCACTTAAGTGCCAACTCCGATCATTTTGGCCGGAAATTCGATGTGGCATTTTTTATTAATTTCTGAAGCCAATGTGGCTCGCCGGAGGATGAGTCAGCATTTTTTATTTTAAATGATTTTTTTTCCTTTTCTTTTCTTTTTTTTCCTTTTCTCCCCTCATTAGCCGGTTGCCGGTTGTCGGTGGCCGAGCCGGCCACCGGCGAAGCCCGAGAAGGGCTCGACGAGGGTCACCCTCGCCCGATCTGGGCGAGGCAGCCTTCATCGGCGACAGGCGAGGCCGCCCCTCGCCGGCCATGGGCGAGGCCGGCCCTCGTCAAATTTAGGTGAGGCCGGCCTCACCCATGGCCGGTGAGGCGGCCTCACTGTCGCCGGCGAGGATGGCCTCGCCTAGATCCGGCGAGGCCATCCCTCGCCGGCGACAGGCGAGGCTGCCCCTTGCCGCTCTCGGTCAGCCCTTCCTGGGCTTTGCTAGTGGTCGGCGAGGGGTGGCCTCGCCAGATCTGGGCGAGGCGACCCTTGCTTGTCGCCGGCGAGGGCTGGCCTCACCAGATCTGGGCGAGGCGACCCTCGCTTGTCGCCGGCGACGGATGGCCTTGCTAGATCTAGGCGAGGCTGCCCCTTGCCCAGATCTGACGAGGGCCGGCCTCGCCCATGGCCGGCGAGGGGCGGCCTCGGCTGTCGCTGGCGAGGGCAGCCTTGCTCAATCCTTCCCGGGCCGGCAAGGGGAGAAAAGGAAAAAAAGAAAAGAAAGGAAAAAAGAAAGAAAAGGAAAAAAATATTTAAAATAAAAAATGATGACCGTACATGTTGACTCATCCTCCGGCAAGCCATATCGGCTTCAAAAATTAATAAAAAATGCCATGTCGGATTTCCGGCTAAACTGACTGGAGTTAACACTTAAGTGATCGTTTTTCAAAAATTTGGCACTTAAGTGATCCGGCGGAAACTTTTGGCACTAAAGTGAGTGCCGTACACAAGTTTTGGCACTTATAGTGTCCCAGTTCCTAAAAAATTATGAAAACCCACTTTTTTAATTTCAGAAAGGGGAAAAACATTTGATTCTTACTACTTACCTAAACTCTTGAATAAGGAAAAATATGTTATGGAAAATATTAGTATTTATAAAAAGTAAGTAATCCAAATTAAAATTAAGCAGGTCTTCCCAAATTGCATTTAACATGTGTATTAGGTATAAAATAACACACGCAATTTGCAATAGTATTTTAAAAAAATTTAACTGGAATAATCAAAGAAAAAATGAAACGTACCATAAATCCAATTGCGTCACTTCCGTGCATAAGCATTTAACTACGCACTTTCGTGCATAATCATCCTCGATAACTGGTAAGTGCTAGTACTTGGATTTACAAATTACCAATTTACAATTGAGATCGTTGCTTTATCGTTTTATTATCGATAGGCGGACTTATTTGATTCAAAAATTTTGAAATGAAACTAGGGCTTGTTAAATTTATAGGATCATTACGATCCTTGATGACCTCACAAAAACTTCATAATCACATGCTTTTTGCACTTGAGTTGTTGAGTTCTTAGGTGGCAAGTGTAAGATTTAATTCCATGTTGATAAATATGTAGTTCCTTATCGACAAATGGGGGAGCTCTCTGGCGATAAACATGTCGAGTATATTTTGTCCGTTGAAAAGGTGGGTATGAAATTTTACAATTCTCTACTTGTTCTCTTGTCCACTTCCTGCCGGTTACTGAAAATGATTTGGTTTATCTGGATTTGCTGCTATTCAGCATGTTGGAGTTTACTGATTTGAGTTTTTGGGGTTGACTTGCACCTAGAAAAAGGATAGTTTTGAGTCGGTGGTAATGAAGCACTTGAGATTGAATGGAGCATATTGGGGATTGACCACTCTAGATCTTCTTGGAAAACTTGACACTCTGGATTCAAATGAAGTTGCTTTAAGGATCCTGCAATACTAGCATGAGTTTGGTTTGTACGTCTTGGCTTCTTTTTTGCGATTACCCATGAAAAACATGCAACTAACAGAACCTCCACTCCACATTCTGTGACATCCTGAAAATTAGTCCATTTGGGATTTATAAAATACTGAGTTTTATGATGTACTCGTAGTTAGTTCTCGCCTGGAACTGATCATTCTTGGGATACTAACCAGTAGGGAAATGCTAATTAGGGATTTAAATTCGTACGACTAAAGAAAATTCGATCGTGAATGGACTTTCGACCATAAAATCGTTGAGGTAATATTTTGAGCCACTGTTGGCCGATCCAAGGATAGTCAGGGGTCAGCCCGCCACTGTCATAGTAGTGGATCGCGGGTGATTCCGCCGGACCGCGAAATGACTTGACGAATGATCCTGAACCTATACCAAACAATCGTGCCCCTCGAATCTAGTAATTGATCCTCACGATTTTAATGACAACCGAAGTCATCACGAACCGGATGAACTTGCACGTGACTTGAATTATTGTCAGTCACGAGTCGAATATGCGAATTTCCCCAACAAGCCGCCCGTTAGTTTGAGAAACGCTCGAGTTGCGTTTAATAAAATTTGATTATTTAATTTAGCCCAAATTGGACATCGGAAAAATTTGGAAGTCACAACGGGACGTTTGGACAACGTTGCGGATGGAACGTACAATTTTAGACGGTCCCGATTCCTTCAGAAAAATTCTATTTCGATGAGAATTGAAGAAAGTGACCATTTTGCCCCTAAGAACTTATAAAGGGTTAGTTTTATGGGCAAATGGCATTTTGATCATTTTACCCTCAAATTTGGAAAAGACAATTTTGCCCTTGGAATTATTGAGAAATTACAAGATTACCCTTGGATATTTTCGGTAAGATTCGATTTGGGCCGTTGATTTCAAGATTAGATCGAATCTCGACAGTTGGATCAAAAAGGTTAGAGGGGGCATTTTGGTAATTTGCCACTTTGGGTCAAATTTGCACTATTTAGGTCCAAGACCCTTTCTCTCTCCTCTCTCTCTCTCCCCCATTCGGTTCTCCCCCTCCACCGTGAGCCCCCCCTCCGATCTCTCTCTCTCTCGCCGGACCGCCTCACCGCCCGGACCGCCGTCGCCGCCGCACCCCCACCGTCGCGCCGTCGCCGATCCACCGCCACCACCATCACCTCACGCCATCTCTCTCTTCTCTCTCTCCCTTCCGTTTGAGTGGCCGTGGGTCACAGCCAAAGGAGGCCGCCGCCGCACGCCGTCGCCGCCGCTCACCGCCGAGCCGCGCCACCGCAAGACACCGCCGTCCTCGTCGATTGCCGCCGCTTTCTGTTCTAGCCACGTGAGTCTAGAACTCGGTAAGTCGCGCCCTAAACCCGACTTAGGATATTGGGTATCGATGGGTAATCTTGGGTTGAAATCGGGTTTAGTTGGGGTGCTGATTTGTATGGATTATGAGTAGAATCAATTGGCGGGCCTAGGATTAAATTCGGGAAATTTTTAATGGAGAATTTGAGATCAACAGTGGGCTGTGAGTGGCTGTGCAGTGGGCCGTGATCCGCCGATCGGGACGCAAATTGGATTTTTAGAACCGGTAATTAATTGTGAGAAAGTGCCGTGAAGGGCCGGAATTGATTTGACGCCATTTGGGTGGAGAAAAATGGCAGATTGTACGCTTATTGTGTGTTTGAACTGCGATTGAATTGTGAGGATGAAATTGAGTGCGTGGTTGTGTAATTACATGATTGAACATGCTTGTCGGGTGCACGCTTGGGCCAGATTGATTTAATTGTTAAAATTGGCCATGTCAAATGCTGAGTGAGCATGAATTGTGTGTGAATTGATGCGTGCACGGGCCACGTGTGATTGGCCAGTTGAGTGTGGTAAATGCTTGTTGAACATGTGTATGAGTGAGAAAGCGGATGTGGTATGACCTGTGTTCGTGGAAATTGTGCCGTCCTGAGGCGTGTTCGTTTACGCGGGATGATGCCCGGTATTACCGGAAGACTGCCAGCCTGAGGCGTGTACTTCAACGCGGGTTGCGCAGTAGGTGGTAGATGTTGAGCCTGAGGCGTGTACTTCAACGCGGACAAGAAACATGGCCTGAGGCGTCTACGTTTACGTGGACCCGGAATTGTTGTGAAAAGAGGTTGCAGTGTACCTGAGGTGTGTACTGTAACGCGGGTCACTGGCGAGGTATGTGGAAAAGAGATATTGAGAAAGGAATGAGTGCATGACATGAGAATTGTGCATGCTTGTGATTGTACTGAAGTGCCTGCTATGTGATAATGGTATGTGTGTGATTGTGTGTTTGTGTGATTATCTGGAGGTACGTGATAGCCTAGGTGGGGTTTAGGGGTGTACTTACTGAGATGTAGTCTCACGGTTATTTTAACCAACAATTTTCAGAACCCCGACCTGAGCCATGAATCCTCCGCCACCGCCACCAGAGCGTTTTGGGGTACCAGTGCACACCGAGTTTGAGGTTGCAGAATTTCCTATGGGTGATGGAATGACCTGGATTAAGCATATTTCGACCGTTTTTGTAGAAGTAGGACTACCTCTTTGGGAATCCCATGTTTATACTGCTGGGTTCTTCCGGGATCAGGCCGGGGATGAGTTCGGGCATGTCAGGGTTTTGATGTTCCGTTTGACTTAGTTGGGGATTGGGACCCATCTGCCATACCCCCGATAGATGGAGAGTTGACCAGTACAGAGACTAGTTTAGCTCAGTCTGGGTTGCACCCAGCATCCGCAGCACAAGGATCTTCAGAGGCGGAGCATGAACCCGAGCCCGAAGCATCACAAGCTGAAGATGACCCGATGGACATAGACTTAGAACCAATTCCCGAGGAGGAACCAGAAGAGGTGGAGCCCGAGGTAGAGCCTGATGACGAGTCTGAGGAGTCGGAAGAGCCTGTAGGAGACCCGGAGTATATACTCCCTTTTGAGCAATACATGGATCCCAATTTCGTGCCGGAATACAATTTCTTTGATTTTCTAGCCGAGGAGGATCAGAATGAAGTTCCAGCTGAGTCGGACGACATCAATCACCCGATTGAGATTGAAGCGGAGACGGAGTCTTCGGAGGAGCAAGCTGATCAGGGAAGTTCAGATTCAAATGGGGATGAGTCAGACTCAGAATGGACGCCGAGTAAGGGGCGTACGGGCTAGCATTAGGGGTTCAGAATGATAGATTTTGGAGAGTACCATTTTTGAGGTCAGAATGCCAGGTCATCAATCTTTTGTATATCGGTGGTTTTAAATACGGTGTGCAAGTGTATGTGGTGGCTGTAAACTGTAAATGTTTTATAAGTTTGATAATGAAAACTTGTATATTCTCCCTGACTTTCCCAGTTTCATTTTGTCCGGGTTGATTATGGTTTCCGCTGTGGAATTTAATCTCTGATGATATTATTTGAGGTCGGCGATACCCTGGGATGTCGCATAAATCGACCAGTAGAGGGTGTCGTGCTCTGGATAGGGTTCGGGGCGTGACACATTCAATCGAATATTTCTTATTTGACAGTATGATTAAGATTTTAGCTTGGATTAACAAATTCCATCTATTACAATGATGACCACGTCTTAGGGCTGTTTGTGCAGGCAGCTTTGGTGGAAATATTGGACATGATCCGCATCTGCTGTATACACTCAATGCTTTGCAAGTTTTGGCCCTTTCTGACAAGTTAGATGTTCTTGACATCAATAAGGTGACAGATTGCATCCTTTAGAATAAAGCATCCTAGATTTGCAAATTCTTACCATTGATGCAAGTTCCTTGGTGTTTTTTTTTTTTTTTATGTTTTTAAGTTTTCATCATTATGAGAGTGATAAACTTACCTTAGGCTCTGTTTTGCATGTAAGAGGTCAGATTATGTCATGTCACGGAACTTTGATTACAGTTACTTTATAGTGTGTATATTGCTAGCCAAACATTGACAAGGTTCTCATTTCTCATATAGCCACATAAGGCTCGCTAATTCCGGAGTAGAATTACGCATAAAACAATGAAGCACCAGGGAAGTAAATTGAGATGCACAACTGCCTGACCAAGCACCTTGCGACGAAGTGGCTCATTTTTCTCTCTTCTTTCAGTTCAAATCAGAAGATTGTTGCAAAACGGAGAACGGGAACGTGGGAGAAATCATTAAGCTACAAGATCTGGTGCTTCTGCTTCAACATATGACAAAGCCGTGTGTACTTTGTCCAGCCAATTGTCCAGTCGGCCATGCAGTAATTTGACCTGTGGAATCCCCAAAACTCTTGGCCGCACCCATGAAACGTATACTGTCCCCTCAACTTGATCGATTATGCCCTCCACAAGATGAACCTGAGTTGAGATTCTAATGATTAGACTACTGTAAAATAAGGTAAATGCTTGAATATCGGTTTTCCATTTAGTATGCTAGAGCAGAGAAGGTGCAAGCAATTACAACATCCATGTATTTGCCATTACGGCGTATGCAAGAAAAGGAAATTGTACTCTAGATTTTGAGCAACAGCATACTGACACATATCCAAAGCTCTTCTATTCTTACACCACAAATAGTGGGGGTCAGTCCACAAGCATGAATAAATAACTCAAAAGTAATCATCTTTTACACCCCCCAATAATGAAACTTAGCATCAACGTTAAAAGAATAAAAAGAAATGCCGATTGGCATTGACCACCACTTATTGTATAATACTATTTATGGTTGATTAATACTAGCTAAGTCTCTTAATAGGGGGGCATGTTCACAGCAGTCACTTTAGGCACATTCCGTGCAGCCAACCCACAAACTTCTAGCCCCTTCAACCATATGCAGCAGACCTCAAATTACCAATGGAAAATACAACTGCCCAATATATGAAACAAACAAACCTGGTTATCCCATTTAATTCTGTATGAAGAACCGAGAAGAGAAGCATTGATTGCTTCATTTTCAATCATTGAGAGCTCCTCACAGGCAATAAAGAGACATTGGAAACTCATTAAAGAGACCATTATATATACTTACAGACAAACTCTTCATGAGAACATGCTCAACATCCCGTGTAGAAAGCTTTTGTGCGCTCTGCATTAACATTCATGGGAATGGTTCGATCCTCAGATGGTCGACTCCGAAAATTCACATCGCCGTTCTCCATCAAAGCTGTAATAAACTCTGTTTCCCAAATTATGTAACTTTCTAATCTTAATTCAGCTCACCAAATACACATAATTCTTGTAATACCCCAACTAACAGATGCACAACACGCCGGCACATGATTACAAGCAATCGAGCAGTCCACACAGAAGCATAGCAACATAACTAGACTAGGCTTTCCAATAGTCAAACAATTGCAAAAGAAAGCCGACCCTTATACAGTTATCACCACACGAAGCTAGAGCTAAAGCTCATGCTTAATTACGCAAAGATAAATCACACAAATTACATTTAGCTAAACACCAACCAGCACACCATTCGTGCCTATTCTTCAGCGATTAGCTGGTGATCCAGAGTTTGAGTTCAGGCCCACGCCTCTCACCACTGATGTAGTTAATGAAAGCAACCATCGGAGCCTCATGTGGTACCAAATTCCTCCAGCTGAGCGGCACTGAAGAAGAAAATGTGCACAAGAGTGAAAAGTGGCACTTGAGAAGAACTTCAAACTCGCGGACATCAAACTTGAACCTCGCGGACGACGAACTTCAAACTCGCGGACGACGGAACCTAGGAAAGGAGAGACAACAACGAACGACAGAATTAAGCTTGCGAGGCGTGGGGTCGCCGAGGATCGAGCGACAGCGATTTGCTTGAGCAGCTGGGTAGAGGAAGAAGAACCCTAATCCCAATCCGATTCGTGATCCGAGACTGACTCCGTCTCTCTCTTTATTTTCTTCTCTTTACTTTCCTGGTTCTGCAGAAGGCAATGATAAGGCGAGTTTAAGGTCTCTTGGGCCTAAATTTCTCTTAAGAAAGGTCCCTTTTGTTATTATAGATGGTGAGGGATGTAATGTCCCCCAACCTCACCACCGAAGTTGACACACACACACACACAGCATATGGAGATTCCAAGTAAGATGGGGAATTTTAATAAAGATTGTCCTTGGTTGCACGTTTTAGAATCAGTTCATTGTCTCTCTTCACTAGAATAAAGCAGAAATAGAAAGCAAGCAAAGCAGAAGAAACAGCGATGATCCATGAATAGAAAAAAGGCGCACCGTTTTCTGCAGAATCTCTCTGTAAGACTCCCAAGAGATACGACCACTGTCGGGTAACTCCCCGCTACGTCGTATGTATGTGTGGCACTCATTTCGTATTTTTAAGCTCGATGCGTCAAAAATCATTTTCATTGATCTGCACCCATTAATTACGAACCACTCCAAAAACTCAAATTCGTCAATGCCCTCGATAACCTGTAAGCGCGAGCAATCGCCAATCGTTAACAGTCTCAAGTTCTTCAAGTTTGACAAATCGCCTAAGCTTTTTAACGAAGAGCATTCTTGAACTTTAAATACTTCCAATGATCCGAATGGAGAAACAAATTGAATATCCTGTAAGCTCGAGCAACGGACAATCCATAGCAGCCTCAAGTTCTTCAAGTTTGACAAACCGCCTAAGTTTTTTAATGAAGAGCACTCTTCAACATAAAAATCTTTCAATGATTCGAATGTAGAAACAAATTGAATATCCTGTACCTCCCGGCACCTCGATAGACGGACTATTTTAAGCATCTTTAGGGGGCTTGGGTCATCATTGCTTGCTGTTGTACTTGATGATCTCGGGATCAATGACGGATCGTGAGGACGATGGACGGCCCGATCAAGTTGGGAAAAAGAAGCACTATATGTTATGTGTATTGATGCATCAAAAATTCTTTCCATTAATCTGCACTTGTCGATTTTCAATTCATAGAAATACTCTAATTTTTCAATGCCCTCGACAACCTGTAGGCTCATGCACCGGATAATACTTAAAGCCTTCAAATTCTTCAAGTTTGACAAACCGCCTAAGCTTTTTAATGAAGAGCAGTCTCGAACGGAAAATTCTTCCAATGATTCCAACGTAGAAACAAATTGAATATCCTGTAACTCTGGGAACCCCGACAGAATGAATTTTCGAAGCATCTTTAGGGAGCTTGGATAATGGAAGGCTCCCGTCCAATGATCAATCAACTCAGGAGCTTGTAGTTCATTGCACCCCAGCTCCTCCGGCAGGCAAGCCAACCACTCGGAAGATTTGCAATCCTGAATAAGTGATCTCTCTGACGATTCTAAGACATCGAGTGATTGAACATCATGTTGCTCGTGCACCTTGTTTTCTCTCGATTTTCTCGAACTTGATGAAACCGTCTCCTTTTCCGATGGAGGAAGCCTGTCGAGGTGTACTTGTTTTCCTCGAGTGTCGTAGAGCTCTAAAACTATCAAATTTGATGGAAATTGTTTGAAAGTTGGCAAGTCCAGTCCATATAGAGTAAGTTCTTTCAGCCGAGAAAGGGAACCCCACTCTATAGTTGGTGCGCGGACATTTGGAAAGCAAAAGCGCAGTTTGCTCAGTTTGAATAACTTCCCAATCCACCGTAAGTCGCAAGTTTGAATTATATTTGATCTGGCCATTGAATCAGAGCCATCGGAAAGGACCAGCTCAACTAGATTAGTAAGATACGAGAGATTAGGGACAGTCAACAACGAAGTAGATGTCAGTAGCAAAGCGGTCAAACTTATGGGGAGCTTCGGCAACTCTTGTATCTCATCACAAGCATGCAAGTCCAGTGTTCGGAGTTGACGAAGCTTGCTCATTGTACTGGGCAGTTCTTCAATTGGTGTGCTTGATACATCTACATATGACAAATTTGCTAGTCTACCAATGGAATCTGGTAATCTTGTAATGTTCGAGCCTGATACATCCAGCTTCGTTAACGACTCTAATTTCGAAACTGAGTCGGGGAGTTCAATCAAGCCAAAACAAAACTTAAGAGAGAGGTGCCGCAGACTCCGTAGCTCTCCAATTTGTTTAGGCAATTTTCTAAGTTCGTGGCAGGACTCAACCCTCAAGTGAGTCAGACACCTCAAATTCCCAATAGAGCGGTCAATTTTCGAGAACAAAGAATTGTCGTGAATAGTCAACTTCTCTAAAACTGAGTCCTTTGGCAAGATTGGTGTCCCATGGATCAACCCATTACGCTTAATAGTGAGAACCTTCAATTTCCTTGCCCTCTACAAAAGCCAATGAAACATTGACAGACAAGAAATAAATATGGATTTAGGCTACCAATTTGTATCATATGTCATTTGATCCTCTCACTAAATGAGAAAATTAGATTATAAATCCATCAAATTTTGTCCTTCATTGAATAAGAAAAATAGACTAAGAGGGAAACTGGCGTACCTTGATTAGGCTCTTGAACACATCATCTGTGAATTGAAGCCCATCAAGATTCACCACAATCGCGTTTTCTAGATGCAACAAATTGGTTGCTACCAAATGTTGATTACGGCCATCTTGAACACCACCAATACGAGCGTAACGCAAATCGATCCATCTCAACTCGAAAAGACGGTCCGTAAAGTCACCTTGGCAGTTTACCTCATACAAAGAAAGAAACCGTATACGTGGGAACCGCTTAATTTCCTCCGAAGTGACAGTTTTACGACCTTGCGATGAATGAAAAAAACGGAGTGCTTGAACTTGAACGCTTTCGTTGATCTGCCAATGACATTGAGGAGTAGAAGCAGGAATTTGTCAATATCCCACTATTTTTTTTCGTAGAAGAGAAGAAAAAAAGAAATAGAAGAGTAGCTCCCAAATCAAAAATGTGAATCCTCAATTAAGAAGAGGGTATAAGCAATTTTCTACTCAAATTTGGCCATACTTTACCTCTCTTTTTTTTAATTCGCAAATGATGTCGCCTTCATCCCACAATCTGGTACGATCTTGTCTGGCAATTGCCCTTCCTAGATCTCTAAGCTGATCATGCATCCCAAATCTATCACCATCTAAAACCTTTATCATGCACCTCTGAATAAGGACATCAATGGCTTCCTCTGGGTAAAGCTCACAATCGTCCCACATGTACATTGGATTAGTCTTCTTCTCACCGACGAAAAAGCATGCAACATCCAGGAATATCTGTTGTTGATCCGGCTTTAAGGCATCATAGCTAATCCTTAGCTTTTGCAAGACATCCCCATAAGGTGTTTTCTTTAGCTGCTTTAGCCTGTCTTCCCATATTTTTTCCTTTTCCTGACCAAAAAGCGACGAGCCTATTACTTCAAGAGCTAAAGGTAGTCCATCTACAGTAGAGACAATGCTTTTTGAAAGAGTGTGGTAATTGGCTCGAGGAGAGTCATCATTGAAGGCATGCTTACTAAAAAGTTTGAGTGCGTCTTCGTCGCTCAACCCCTCCATTTCATAATCCTTAAATTTATTCTCAAATCCCCTAATATTCAGCACGCTCTTGTCCCTAGTGGTAACGAGTATCGTAGTACCAGGATACAAAGAATTCACTGGGATTAGATTTTCGATCTGGTTGCCCTTATCGACATCATCCAATACAATTAGCATCTTCTTGTTGCAAATTGTGTCCCCAATCCTCTTGATCCCATCATGAATGCTTTGAATCTTACCAGCCTCTCTAGAATAAGAGATATCGGACAATAATTTTTCTTGCAACTGTTGTAAAGCCGTTTCCCTCACGCGTTCAAGAAAGCTGCAGTTTTTCCTAAACTCAGAACGTAGTTGGTTGAAGATAATGTTGGCCAGTGTTGTTTTACCGATGCCGCCCATCCCATAGATTGCAATTAGCCGCACACCACTAGGGTCGATGTCTAATAAATTGTTTATGGCTGCTATTTGATCCCCCGTTCCAACTAAATCTTTGGTTGCTGGTCTTTGTCTTGTCTCGAGCCTGACCACAACCTCGTCAACAACCTCCTGGATAAGTTCCCCATCGCTGTCACAAAGTTGAACAGTTTCAATTGAGAAAAGGTGACAAATTTACATGTTGACCAACCTTCTTCTAAGCAACCAGGTGGGAACGCGATCAAGTTATGGATATATCAAAATTCAATGTTACCCCCAAAGCTTTGGGAACATGATGAATTACAAACTTGAACGTCCATTACAAGTTTAAGTTAAAGGAATAGAGGAAGAGAAATGTTTGATCTTTATATCAAGCAGGAGAATCAGAATTTCTAGCAAAAAAGGTAGAATAATCAAAATATAAACATTTGATGAATTGCTGTAATGGTAGATTTACTTATTTCTTTCGACGTGGAAAAGAACTTTGCAAAGGCAACAGTTCCTTAATCAAGTTCTTTAGCATACGATAGGAATCTTAATACATACATGGATCAAATTAGTATAGAAAAGATGAAGCAAAGCCAAATTTTTCATACGATGGAAAATAGGTGAAAAACGAAATTATAATAACCCTATTAGGTCAGAATTTTTTTTGGAAATCTACTGATTTAAAAAAAATAAAAGAAGAATTTGAAACTTTCTGTTTAAAATAGGGAAATTAGAGTTTGAATATAATTAATGAATTTTTATAAGAACTATGGTCCGATTTTACAAAATTATTTTCACAATCGTGGTTAGAACGTTACCCTGAATATTTCTTCGACTCCTTTCCACTGATGCCGCCAACATTCTTGAGAGCCTGTTGCCACGTCTCTATATCCTTGGAGCTCAACTTTTTATTCCGATCCTCCATCTTTCGCTCCAATTCCAATATGGCCTTATTGTACGACTGGGTGTTCAACTTCACGTCATCGGGTGTCACGTCGTAGAAGATGGGCAATATGACCTTATTGCCATCTTCTTTAGAGGTGTTCACCATCGTTGCAAGCTCCTGAAGGCACCAGTAACTTGAAGCGTAGTTTTCGGTGAAGATGGGTATGTAGAGCTTGGAGTCGTTGATCGCTTGTGGAAGGTTGTTGCTAATTCTTTCACCAAATCGAAGTTCCTCGTCATCCATGAAAACACGAATCCCGGTGTGGAACAAAGCATGATAGAGGCTGTTGGCGAATGTGCGACGAATATCGGGCCCTCTAAAACTCAGGAACACCTCGTACTCACCTCCTGATGTATTACCGGTGCTCGTTCCTGTCTCTGGGCTCGCCATAGGATCTCCCTTGGCACTTAGCAGGGTCAGCCCGCTCTCTCTCTTTAATAGACACTGTTAAAATACTTCTTCTAGCAAATTTGCACAAAGCCTTCTGGTTCTCGAATGGGAAAAGCCTTTATTACATTCTTAATGTGAAAAGCTTTCTCCACCGGATCATCCTCCCTCAGGAATTTACAGAGGGAGAACCAGGGCGTTACATTAGAAAAGGAGAAAAGGGATGTTTAATATAGGGACGTTTGTATTGCGTGACTCACGGGGTTTAATTGAAAGTTCAACGCATACAGGCAACTTCGATGGAGCTTCCAATTTATAGTCAATAAAGTTAATAAAATGGAGGACAATAATGGAGGTGTACCTTCTTAACATGCCCAATTTCTTTCGAGTTTCTTCTTCGTGCTTTTCACTTTGTGCTTTTGAACTTTTGGATAAAAAAATATTTGATTCTCAAACATTAAATCATTTATGATTATTTTGTGGATATGTCTATAGTTGGACGTATTTAAAATTCCAATCCAATATTGTAAATTCACAATTTATCTATATAAATGCATAATAACAAAATATTCCTAAAGAATAGCCACTTATTATGACACATGTGACCCTGCATAATTAGAAAAATCTCCTTCATACTACAGGGAATTGGATTTGTTGCTTGCACCACAAAAAATGCTCCACTTAAGCACTACCTAACCATATGATTCCTACTCACTATAAAATATTTATTTTGATCTTTTCGCTTAAAGACTTACTTTTTATTATAATTAATTTTAACCACTCAAATATCATCATAAAATGTGACTTTATATTAAAAAGCATATGATTGTGCAAATCTTTTACTTTTACGCAAATGGACTATCTATAGGTGAGGAAATGCAATGATGGCCTGTCAATGGCTATGATGCCACTCCATCGTGGTGCTGCTTTGAGCGTGGAAATAAAAGCAAGAGAAACCACGATGGTCTTGACCATAAGAGATGACTTTGCTCAGCTGAAGAAAGGGAAAAGGAGATTAATGACGGCCATTGCCGATATGGGCCAAAAGAGTAAAAGACGAAGAAAGTTACATTGATGGTGTCTTCTTCATTTTGGCTTGTTTTATTTACATATGTTTTTCGTGGCGTTATTCGCTGCTTTGACTTGTTGACTAAATTGGTGCAGTGTACGAAGTCTTCGAGAGGATGACTTGTCCACATTTTTCTTTATCTCATTTACAACACTAAGTATCCAAATCATTCGACTCAATTAACATCAATTTATACACGCAAATCGCTCCATGCATGTGCGTTAGGTTAGCTCCAATCACAAGATGGCTAGTGAGACACTCCAGGTAGACACCGTGATCGAATCTGAACAAAATGTTGTTTCAAGAATAGCATTCAAAATACACATGATGCATTCATGACGGTTTATACGAACCTAACTCTGCACAAATTATGTACAAAACAACAATCCTTCCAAAGACATGGCAATCGTGTGTCATAACTATGATCATCTTCGATGCATTACTTTATACAACTTAGCAACACCTTATGGAAACGCTATGAGGATGTACATTCTATGCTTTCAAACTATTGCCTAAAACGATTGGAATACATAAAAAACATTCATGCTTACTTTTTAGTAAATTGGAAGATCATGCGATACCATAATATAATATCCCCAAAAATGCCAAAACACCATTCATTAAAATCACGTTTCTACCTTTTAATTAATCATGCATGTCGCACACAACTTTAATAAATCCGAAAGGTTTTTGGCATGAAAAAATAGAGGTTATTGGAATATTAATTAAGAATTAAGCCATCTAATTAGTCTTGTGGTGGCTAAACATGCTAATAAATAACGTAATTTAGAAGGGCACATCAATAAATATTTAGTATTCTCAGGTGGAGGCACAATGCATGTAAAGGTGACGTCCCCTTCTTCACTCAAAAGAGAGAGATTCCTTCTTATTGGTCAGGGAACATGTGAATTTTTGGGTATCATACACGGACTGGCTAGGTTGAGAGAACAATTAAAAAATTTATACTTGCACCTAGGTATACGGTGAGATTTAATAGAATCACTGCCAACTGTTCTAAAAACTTAAGGTATAAAATGAATGTACGGTTTATTATTTAAACATTCTAACATACACTATATATTTATTTACATACACATATGAGCACAAACTTAAGAGTAATCCAGGAGTCGTCAATAAGTGCTCTTGGATAACGTTTCATGTTTTGAAATATTGAATATGTTTTCGACATTAAAGAATTTTAAAAGGAGCTTCCAATTCTCTTAGATAACTCTAATTTTATCATCAATTATGAGTTTAAGCTTATAAATATTGGTCAATATCTTAAGAAAATAAAATATATTTTTTTTGTGCATTTATTCATGATTGCC